GCTCAGGGATGGTGATCTCGGTCTACTGACTGCGGGCCAGACTTGAGACAAAGTCCATAGCCCTGAGCCTGGTCGTCACACTGTGCCCCACTCACACATCCATCTGTGGAAAGCAATACATCTGTTCCCCTGACTATACTATATGCAAGGCCAGGCCTTTTGCTACAGATGGTGGTGGCAAGTAGGAATGATTTGACTTTTCACATAGAACAGGAATTTAAGCAAGTCAATGAAAAAGCAGCAAAGGATGCATTGGTTTCTAGAGGACAGAAAAAGGGACAAATGAGGGGAAAACATTCTGATTGTTTGTGTGGCATTTATCACTTTAACACAATTTATTTATTTAGATAAGTGCCTCCATGCGAAACATTTCACCGGGAGAAGGCAAGAAGAGAGAAAAAAAAAACACTAATGGGAGGTTTAGAGAATAAATGTTGAACTCTTCACCTATTCTTTTTTTTTTTGTGATCAATATTTTTTATTTTAAGTTAACATACCAGATACAAATCAAAGCTCACTGAACTATATACAAACAGATGCCATGAAAACTCTCCACATATAAATATATATATATATATATATATAATAGTAACAATAATAACTCTTCACCTATTCTTTGACAAGCTAACTGTTTGACAAAAATAAAAAACTAAATAACACTGGATCTGTGAGGAAGCAGTTTCTATATAGCTGGACAAACAGTCTAAAGTTACGAGGAGGCAATGGATCAAATTCCCACATTTTAGTCAAAACAGAGCCTCGTTTCATTTTGATTGGTCTTGATTCTCTAGAAAAATCTCTATAACAAAACTTTTGTAGCCTATAAGAAATTTAATTTTCAGGGATGCACCCTATTCTAATTCAGGCTGATACTGGGTGAAAACTACTAAATATATAATATTAATAATTGTGTACTATTTTGTGTAAAAGAAATAACAAGAAGATGAAATTTAAGCATCAGAAAAGTAGTGTATAAAAAAATATTGTTATAAAATTTGTCAAAGATTGCATTTAATAAATGTAGTATTTTTACAAGATTAATTCATTAACTCATCCATATGTTAAAAAGGAAATAACTGCACAATTAAAATATTAAATCAATCAGCCAATACCAATAGATAATAATAATTTATTTACAAATAACTATAGACAAAAACTAGGAAAAAAAAAATACAGTTTTAAGCTTTGCTTGATTTGAAATAAAGCAGCAAACTTTACAATGCATTTTTTGGTTTAAAATTGGGAGATTTTATTTGGAGATAGCAATTTGCCCCCATTTAGCAAAACAGGAGATGAACTTGAATGCCTATATTATACGGGGTGTTGCAAAGATGGCTGAAAAGTGGACTGACATATCTTAAAAGGGCTTTGGGTTACTTCCTCTTTGTACAAGTCATTTGATTAATAATATCACTATACGGTCTCCTCTTTCAGAATCGCACGCGGTACAATATGAGAACACAGCCCTGTGTTGTTATGGATAAAATCAATATTGCTGAGGACTGATATCCGTTGGTTATATCGGTATACTGTATAACTCCTGCACAGATCTTTACATGTGTCTCTATGGAGACATACAGAACTGCCTTCAACCAAAATCAAAGTCAACAGCACTTTTGATGGAGGTCCACGGCTGATATCTCTGCTCCTGGTTTCTCCAGCACTGTAAAACATGTAGCCGGGCAGGAGAAGAGAGTGGAGGCTTGAATAGCTTATTTCTGCTCCGCTTCTTTACGGCTGAATCATGGCCTCAGAAAGAGAGCTGGCTGTGGGCGATCTCTACAGCTATGAGTAGAAGCTGGCCCACTGAGCAGGGACAAGGCTACTTTGTTGGGACCCTTCATGCATCGGGGTCAGGCTCCTACACAGCGGGCCGGAGGGCCGACGTGGGAAATGCGGCAGCTTGCCACCAGCTTGCGTTCCACCTCAGTAAGCGGCAGAAAGAAATCTGCTGACGCCTGATTGTGCAGATATACATGTCCTGCATGTGTTTGTTGATGTCCTACAAGACAATTTCAGGATAAAGCCAACCTTTTTTTCAGTTAAAAAAAGGCGTTGAATGGCAATTTACAACAGCAAAGGGCTCTTTAGTCATGCAAGAGGAAGTTTTGCAACACAGAACACAGTGATTTCCCGTTCTTTAAAATCACAGAGGGAAAGGCACAAAGCTATTGAGAGGGGGCACAGCATCAGCAACCTCTTTAAAAGCTGTTGTAAAGAGGTAAAGCTGACATGGGGTGGCTGTTACATAAGGGGAGAGTGTGTCCATTCATTTTTAATGCAGGTGAGGGCCCTCTCGTTGCAGAAAAGAGAGCAGATGGGCCACTGATGGAGAGCGCAGGCATTGTGGATGGCTCTGTGCATTCTTCTGCAGTTCTGCCATGCAGGTAATTCACCAGCAGTGTCATCAGCATGAATAAAAGATAACTTGGCCCAGCTGACTCCTTTTATGCAGTTTTAGACATTTTCAGTAAAAGATTTTAAAGGAATACTTTACCCAAAAATGAAAAGTCTGTCATAAATTCTGTTACTCACCCTTATGTCATTCCAAAACTGTATAACTCCAAACAACACTGGACCACTCTGACTTTCAAAATATGGACAAAAACAAAGACATTTTTCAAAGAATCTTCTTTGTGCTTCACGGAAGAAAGAAAGCCATACTGGTACTGTACGGAATGACATGAGAGTGAGTAAATGATGACTTTTTTTCAGTTTTGGGTGAACTATCCCTTTATTTTACTTAAAAAGAAATGTCTAAAACTTCATAACAATTCTTAGGATTTTGTGTATGAATTCCATTCAAATATTGCTTTACAACAAAAAAATATGTAGTGAATGAATGAGAATGCTTTCACAAGTATCATGTAGACAACAAAGAATATTTGAAAGACTAAAAATAGAATCAGTGTTGGGGAAGCTACTCTGAAACTGTAGTTTGACAAGCTACAAGCTACTCGTAAGTTAAAGTAGTTAAACTACAGTCAAGCTACCCTTTTGGAAAAGTAGATTAGCTACACTACAAGTTACTATCAAAATGTAGTTAGCTACATTGAAACTACTTACGTATATTATAAATAACTGAATAAGTGTCTGATGAATGTTTTAAGTAAAATATAAATAATTATGATTTCAAAGAGTATTGTTTTATTACACACAAAACTCAAATATCTCAGACTGTATGTCAAAAGTGCAACATTGCAACAAATAGCCTACAACATTGCAAGAACAAAACACATCCAACGTAAATTGCATGTAGAACATTTTCTACAAAAATACCGATTGAACTTGGACAAATACGGCCATGGGTAATAATTAACGTTAGTTGTTTCTCCATCCTCCAAATCTGCCGTCACGTCTTGTCTAATCATAATATGAGTGTGTCAACCCACTTCTGTACGTCAGTGAACCGTTAGCCGCAAGATGCGTGAATAGGGACTTTAAGCAACAGCTGTTGATAGAACGGCAGCCGGAAGTAAACAGTTAACTGCCGTAGCTAAAGAGCGCAAACATCACTAAGCAACAGTAAATAGGACGACATAGGGGATAGTTTCATCATAAGATTAAATAAAAAATGAAAGCGATTTTAAAAAGTAAGAGAAGGGTTGATTTTGGCATTTAATGATATACAGAAACGATTACAATGCCACATAACCTAAACCATAACATTAACTTTCTTATTCTGTCACGCAGTAACGACTACGGCAAATCAGCTGTTCTCCCGTAGTAGACGGTTACAGTAAAACGTCGCGAAGGAGCAGTTAATGTCGCGCATGCGCAATAGACCGACAGAATGCCGTTGCCGTTCCACCAGAGGGTGTTGCTTAAAGTCCCTATTAAACAACAGGTGGCGGTAATGGCAAAAAATGAGTTTGAAATCTAACAAGAAGAATAGCCTTGCATTGCGCTGATTCGCACAGGCTCGACAAACGCAATGTAGCTTTTGCTCGCGCTACACCGCTACTTGCTGCAAAAAGTAGTTAGTAGCGTCGCTACTTGTAGTTAACTACTTCCCCAACAGTGAATAGTATTTATGCATAATATCCCAATTTGTATTTACTTATGATAAAACCTTTCAAAAAAGTGTCTGTATTACACATGCTACACTTATATTTTTTATTACATTTTTTATTATATTTTATATTACAAGTGAGTACTGAATAATAAAAAAATCTAGAATGACGTCAAAGAGACGTTGAGTACATTTTTGTTCTTAGCTTGCTGATGGTCTCGACCTATAAAACTGGAATGTTGCTTTTGAAAAATGAGGACAGTGCAGCTTGGCAAATCCCGCTTTCTGTGTACTGAACACTACAGTAGTATGGTTTTGGTTTGCACAGCACTCATATGGCCAGCTGGGAAGGCTTTATGATGAGCATGCAGTTTTACGAATTATATAAATGGGAACATTTTTACACACTCATTAATTGAGCCAAACATGAATGGTGGACAAAAAGAAAAAGATGCCATGTGCCCAGTTCAGTTAGGGGGCCGTTACATGATCTATGCCCCTTTGTCAGTTGTGGTACTCAAATACATGCGGACTTATCAGTGGCTCCAGACGTCCTGAACCCTATCTAAGCACGAATGAGAAGGAAACTGTTACATGCTGTCCAGACATCAGTTTGTCCCCCTTTGTACTATGGAACAACAAATGCAAAACATTTGTGCATAGATAATTTCGGGACTTCAACTTAAAACTGATTGCTGTGTTAGACATTATATCAAAGTGTGAGATATTCCCTCAAAATATGTTGTCGTTTGTAAAAGTATTTATTATATAACTAAATATCTAAAAACAACAAAGCTCCAGCATAATTTGTTTGAAGAAGCCGCTTCGTTTTATATTGTGTTTCTAACTCAATGTTTTAAAGTCAATGTTTAAACTTCAATGACCTTTTGGGGCTTGGTACAATCAAAATGACATTGACGGTAAATGTAAAAATCCTTCAATCATCAAAGACTGGTCATTACAGGAATCAAAAGTAGGCCACACTCACCTCTACAATGTCAGAGTTGGTTCTGCTCTCGTGGGGTTCGTTGTATTCTGTGTACTTTAGTAGGACTTTGTCCATGTCAGTGCTGGCATACTGAAAGAGTTTGTTTGAACTGTTGAATATGATCAGGGCAATCTCACAGTCACACAACACGCTCAGCTCATAAGCTTTCTTCATCAAACCAAACTTCCGCTTTGTGAAGGTGACCTGTGAGGAAACAGAGAAAATAACAAGACATGCTCAGTAAAAGTTGTTTTATACACAGACACAGCTTGAAACTAACTTTTTTCCAAAGTTACTAGCCACTCAGGCTTTTTACTATCCACAATTTTGACCGATCTCATGGTGAATTTTTTGTTTTAATATTATCTCATCATTTGGCAGTAGGTGTTAGGCTGCTGTCACTTTAAGACCTGACGCACGGATCCGTTATAGTGTTGCACATGAATATTCTTTCTCAACTGTTTAAGTGCAATAAGCAAAAAAAACAAATGAATTTATAAAAATTTAGGAAAATTATCCATAATCCCATGCTTAAATTCAAGCCCTGTTACACCAACAATATTCATTCGGAGCAAATGAAACGAGCGAGTGAGGGAAGGCGAGTTTGTGTTTCAAATCGCTATCAGAGAGATGAGAGAGCGAGAAAGCGCAGCTGGTCTAGTGCATCTATGCAGCAGAAAATGAGTATTGGAAGCATTTCAGATATTTCATAATCTACATTTTTGACAACATCGCATTGCACTTAGTTTATTATGGATGGATGGAGGGATGGATGGCAGGCATTTTTGCTGCGGTGCCCGGGGAGCGGTTTGGGGTTAGGTGCCTTGCTCGAGGGCACCTCATACCCCTTTTCCACCAAAAAAAGAACTGGTTCGGAACTGGTGCTGGTTCAAAGTTGGTTCAGAGTTGGTTCAACTTGCGAACCGCTTCAGAACCTGTTTGTTTTTCCACTGACTAGAGCGCCCAGGGAACGACGTCATTACGTCACTATGTACGTCGCCATACGTCTTAGCTAGAAACGCTTGCAAATACAACATTACTTTCGGATTATCTCTAACTCGTGTACCAAGAAAGCTTTAAAAACAATTGAAATTGAAGTCTTTTAATCTTTTCGTTTGGTATGTGAAGAGTTCAGATGCAAAAGCCTCTAAGTGTCATTTGAAATTTTCTTCTAAAATGATCATTTTTATCAAGCTTGTATATTTAAGTTCAGTAATTTCACTTACATGGCAATGAAGATTACCTATTAATTGCCATTTAAGTGAAATTACTGAACTTAAATATACAAGTTTGATAAAAATGACCATTCTAGAAGAAAATTTCAAATGGCATTTAGAGGCTTTTGCATCTGAACTCTTCATGTAATCTTTTCTGATAAGTTATGTACCCCGTCTTGTGTCTTTTTTTCTTTCCGTTTATTTGTTCTATATTGTGACTGTTTTCTTCTTTGCTTATAATGTCTTCAATAAAAAAAATAGCAAAAATAGAAACGCTTGCGTTAACTTCAAGCATAACAATTACAAAGGCGGACTCCATCGTGTTTCTGCAAATGTTTCTCTTGGCTTTGCGATCCTTTATTATGGTCAGAAAAGATGTTTAGATCACATCGAAACCCGCACCAGCCCCCGACGTAAGCATGACGTGGTAAAAGAACAGTTCTAGTCCAGCACAGCATGTGCGCTTCTGCAGGTCACACGTAAGCGCCCATACCTATCTGACTTTTCAAGAGACGACCGGCCATTAAGCACCAAGCTATATGCTTTGCTTTAGATCCAGCTTCTCCTGGCCGAGAACCGGTTCTTTGGCTGTCGAAACACAAAGAACTGGTTCGCGCGCAGGCACCGGCTCCGAACCGGCTCTCAAAATGCTTTGGTGGAAAAGGGGCTTCAGTCATTTTCTGCTGGAATTGAGACCTAACTTTAAATCACAAATCAAAACAATTGTCTCACTGTGGTGGTGGGTATCCTTACAATGGTTTTGGACTGATTTTAGATCAGCTAAAAGTCTAATTGTTTTAGTGGACTTTATCTATCCCGGGCCATGTTACTGCGAGATAATGAGTCGAGTAGACAGCAGAGATGCCACAGTGATGTCATGGCGGGTCAGACAGAAGGTCAGTGTGAGGAACGCAACAGAGGCTCCACAGCCTGTGCAATCAGCCCATTAGGGAGACAGCAGGCTCCATCACTCCTGCCTGCATCCCCTGACAGCCTCTTCCTGCAGGACCATCGCAGTAACACGAGCCGGCATGTGCGCTTCTGCAGGTCACACGTAAGCGCCCATACCTATCTGACTTTTCAAGAGACGACCGGCCATTATGCACCAAGCTATATGCTTTGCTTTAGATCCGGCTGTACAGTAAGCCAAGCCAAGCATGTATCCTATTATCCACAAGAAGCTCATTCAGGAGCCTTCAAAAGCCTGAAAATGAATTATGCATTTGTTCAGCTCCCATGTTTAACAAGTGTTGCACACTGAAGATAGCAGCAGATTTACTTTCATAATATGGGAGCATCAGAACGACATCATGGATGAGCATATGAACACTCAAGATGAACAGGATGTGTCGTGCACATGGCAAAACTTCCAGAGATGCCATGGAAAGCTGTGCCTAGAGCGAAAAGAAGTTGGAGAGCGTGTCTATGCGAGGGAGAGAGAGAGAGCTGTATGATTACTTCCGCCAATTTCACTGACCTACAAAGCAGAGCTGAGCAGATGAGCTGGCTTTGTTCAACTTTAATTGGTCACAGCTTGCAGAAACCCTCATTTCAAATGGTACAATGCAATATAATCCAATGAGCAGCCCAGTATCTTTAAATCTATACTGATTTGTGGAGTCACATGTTCTGCATTACAGGTGATTATAATGCTTAATTTATGTTTTCAGTTGAACACAATACAAATCTGGAGAAATTGATATTCTTCAATTGATAAACCTCATTTTGAGGGTTTTTTATTATTATTTAAAATTAAATAACGAATAAATATTATATTTAAAGCAACATTAGAAATAATTAGAATAAAACAATGTCCAGACAAATAATGTATTCCTGTGATGGCAAAGCTGAATTTTCAGCAGCCATTAATCAAATGATCCTTCAGAAAGCATTCTAAAATGCTAATATATATACAGTACATGTATGAAAATCAATTAGAAAATTCCTTCAGATAATTATACAAGCATGCCACAATTCACAAGACTGCAGACACTGCTTAAAAAACTCCATGTCAGCTACCTAAGTAACTGTTGAACCAAATCAAATTTGTACATGGCGTACATAACACATTCATCTAAATCCATTCAACCTCCAATGACATGAGGCAATGACACACAGCGGCTTACATTATCAATAAACAGGAAGCGAATGGAGAGTGCTGGAGGAGCAGGACTTTATACTTGAGCAGTCTAGAGAGAGTAGTAAGCTGAGCTCAGGCAGACAGCAGTGTGAATTCCCAGAGCCACAAAGAGCAACTCCCTCCCAGCTGTCATTAGACTCCTCTTGCCTCTCTTGCCGAGCAAACACAGGCAAAGCAGCCTCCAAAATCTCCCTGGACAAGCCTTTACCAAGTATAACATTATTAAATGCTCCCTCATACCATAAATGGCAGATTTAATTGTAAAACGTATGGAGATGGGAACTATAGCCCAAGTACAGTAGGTGGCATAGTTCAGGTTGGAGTTGACCTCTGAGGCAGCAGAAGAAAATGTCACCTTTAGTATGGGACAGGCCCTGCTGTATGGTGTGTTCTGTGACATTGTTCCACTCGATTGCTGTTAAGGGCACTCAGAGTAGTTTCTTGCTGACCCAGAGTAACGATTTATTCCAGCTGCAGTGCAGGACACCGTCACACACACTCGCATAGACATCCGCATTCAAACAAGAACTTTTAACTCACGTTTAACTTATCATCATACAAAGAGCAATTATACTCTTTTCAGCCTTGGGTGGCACAATGCACGCTTGTGATGGCAGTGATGACAAAAAACGCAGTTGTCGTCTTTACGATAAGTACAGTCTACAAGCCACAGTTTAAGAACGCCACAAATAAGCGCTCTAAGCTGCAACAAGGGTTTGTGGGTGAGTCCCCAAACAACAACCCTAGTCTCCCGGGTCACTGCTGACACAGTGGAAATCCATTGAGAGATCTGGGGTCATGTGGGAGGTCAGTGGTTCTTTTTTCCCACCAGCTCACAGAGAAACACACCCACACAGCAGTTGACTGATTTCAGACTGTAATTTCAGACTGATCTCATGAAATGGCGTATGTATGACACGGCAATTCGTATTTCCATTTTTGGCGTGCTATCAACACGCATTTTCAACGTGTTTATGAACGCCGTTACATTATTGTATATATAAATATATGACCTAACCTAGGGATGCACCGATATGAAAATTTTGGCCGATACCGATAACCGATAATTCTTTATATTTGAAAGCCGATAACCGATATATTGGCCGATAAATCTAAACCAAAATTTTTATATAATTTTTGAAAAACCTGATTACAAAAACAGCAGTCTCACCATTAAAATCCACGTCCAAAACACACAATTACAATGACGTTCTCGTTATAATTTTATGTAGCGGATATGACAGCCTTGCATGTTGCAATTTACTGTCCTCAAGCAATTCAAATCCATCATGTTGAACAGAAAATAATACATTATTTATCGGCTTTAATATATTGGCTAAATTTTCTTATCCGGCCGATAACGATATGGTGGCCGATATATCGTGCATCCCTAACCTAACCCAACCCCGTCCCTAAACCTACCCGTCACTGGGGTTAATAGCCTTTACGAGTCTTCCCCTACCATCCAAGAAAAAAAAAAAAAATATCGCTCCCCAGATGTAGATCTACATTTTGTTTAGTTTCGCTCGGACATTTAACGGCGTAGACATACACGCATACACGCTGATAGCTCAAAATGCGTATAGATAATATGCCACTTGACTTGAAAATGGCGTGTATGTTTACGCAAAAGTCATGATGCCATGTTGGTAATTTACTGATCTAGCTACTGTCATGCGAGTTAGGGCGGCAAAATGTATCGAAATAAAACAGAAATCTACATGGCTTAGTGTGATCATCAAAGTCTACGATTTAATTAAGTATAAATACACTACGAGTTTCAGAGTGAAGTGCGGCACTGTGCTTTTTTATACGTGTGCAGCTCATGATCCAGTGTTTTCAAAGTC